GAGGAAGGGAAAGTTGGGGTGGGGTGCAGGGTTCAAAAGGATATAAAACAGGTGGCACCTTAATCTTGAACTTCTGACCTCTAGAACCGTGGGAAAGATCTGTTTCTGTTATTTAAGCCACCCAACTTATGATATTTTGTTATGGCAGCCTGAACTGACCAAAACAAATATACTCTGCACAGTTTTGCCAAGAATATGCTCTAGTTCTTGCCTCTAAGATTTTACCAAAATCTTTGCTTTCGCAAATAAAAGCGCTTTTCAGAAGAAAGAATATTTACCATAAAACATGATCTTTCTTTGAAATAACCAGAGTGGTAAGCAACCGCTTCCAAAATGCTGAGAAGAATAGGATTTCTACAATAGCCACTTTCTTGTGTGGCACCATCTGTTTTTCTTTAAATGTAATAAAAATGACAGCTTTTGATGTACTGATACTCCCTGAGCCTTTTAAAGTCAAACATATGATGCTATTTGTGTGTAAAGGTTTTTCTCTTGCACCCATTTGTTTCTCCAGCTTGAATTTCTGTGTAAACTCCCTTGGCTAAAGTATACAAGCCACCCACACCCAGCGCTTCCTCCCTGCTTTTAGAGCAGGGGGTGGAAACCTGCCTTCTGCAGCATGGAGGGTCCGACAGGCAGCCTGATGAACTGGGCAGAGGAAGATTTCCTAGTAGACAGGGCCACCCCACCCCCTCCTTCCTTTGTGCCATGTTGTGAATATGAAACTTGGAGATGTGGATTCAAGACATTTTGAGCAACCTAACCTAAACCTGCCTTCCTGCCTCCCTCTTCCCTTATAAACCTTCAAAAAGCTTCTCCCCCTTTCCTTTAAAAGGCAGTAATATGTATTGCAAGTAAAACATTCATTTTTTTAAAAAAAATAACTTTGAGGAGGTATAACTTATAGGTCATAAAATTCACCCATTTTAAATTCAGAGTGCAGTGCTTTTTAGTAAATTTACCAAATTGTGCAACCATCCCATAATCCAGTTTTAGAACATTTCCATCACCACAATATGATCCTTTATGCCCTTTAAAAGTTAATTCCCATTCCCACGCCCAGCCGCTGGCAACCACTAAGCTATTCTCTGTCTCTACATTTGCCTTTTCTGGACATTTCATATTAATGAAATCATATAATATGTGGTCACTTGCATTTGACTTCCTTCGCTCAGCATGATAATGTATTTGAGGTTCATCTACGCTGTAGTGTCCATCAATATTTCTTTCCTTTGTGTTGCTGATAGCATTCCGTTGTATGGTTCCTTATCACATTTTGTTTATCCGTTCATCGGTTGCTGGACGTGTGGGTTATATTTCCTTTTCAGCTATAGCTATGGATATTTGCATGCAGATCCTTGTGTGGACATATTGAACCTCTGATTCTTGATAATAAAATGACATATCTAGTTCTTAGTTCAAACAGCGCTGGGTTGAGCTTTTTGTAATCCCAGTCCTTTGCCCCTCAAAAATCCTCTCCAAAAACAAGTTGACTTTTTTCCCCACTTCTGTGAGGCTATCAGTTGATTCTTTTTCTCAAAGTCACTAGCTCTTGATTCAGTAGAAAGGAAGCTACCCACTTGTTAGATAACTGTTTCCCAGCTCCTTTCAAAAGAAAACACTTCATTCAAGTCAAGAGCATTGAGTCTACGCACCCCTTGTGTCCAACTCTGTGTTGGGGACTGAGGAAGCCAACTGAGATGGAACTTGCCCATGAAGACTTTACTAACATCGTGTAAAGAGCCAGAAAACCATTCCCATTCTACACACTCAGCAATCAGTGAGGAAAGGAGTTTTTTCTAATTATTATGTCCTGCCCTGTCTTCTTTCATAAAGTAGAGTTATCTTTAAGTACTATAAAGTCTCTACCCATTTTTTTCCCAACTAAAAAAAATTAAGCTCATACAAGGAAGTTAGTATAAACCAGAGTTCCAGACCTTTTCCCTGGTTGATTTGAACAGCTCATGAAGCCTGTGATCTATCAAGAACTCCAGGTCTCTTAGATTCATAAACTGGGTCTTCTCCATTCTTCACTGTAGACTTTTATTGTTGCTGAATATATATATATATATATATATATATATACATATATATATAACACTTTACATTTAACTTTATTAAATTTTATATTACTAGATTTAAATTTTTTTTGGTAAATTTAAGCTATATAACTTAAAATTTGCCATTTAACTCATTTTGATGTATACAGTCCAGTTACATCAAGTATATTTCTGTGCAGGCTTTACCACCATGCATCTACAATATTTTTCATCTTCCCAAGCTAAAATTTCATACCCATTAAACAATAATTCCCTCCCACCTCCAGCTCTTGGCAACCACTGTATCTACTTTCTGTCTCCCAATCTGACTACTTTGGGTACCACATAAGTGAAGATAAACAGTGTTTGTCCTTTTATGAAAGAGCATAATGTATTCAGATTTCATCCGTGTGTCAGAATTTCGTTCCTTTTTTTTGGCTGAGTACTATTTCTTTGGATGTGTAGACCACTTGTTGTTGATTGAACTGTTGGTGGATATTTGGGTTGCTATGAATAATGCTGCTATAAATGTAGGTGTACACTACCTGTTGAGTCTCACTGATTTTAATAGTTTAACCCTTTACCTCCTCTTCCTGTTTTGTGTCATCATATAGTTACTGCAAAACAGACAAGCTTGATCTCTGACATTACCTAAATCCCTTCTTAATAACAATGTTGCACTGAACAGACCATTTATACAAAATGGTTATTTCCCCCCATCCATCCTCAATTATTTTAAAAGCAGGGAATGGTTTTTACAGCTAGATTCCCAGAGCAGACAACTTTGACAGTCAAGTTTGCTGCAGTTCTGATTCTAGTCTCACTTGGTTAGGGGAAGAAGGGGTTGGACTGAGGTTTTCAATCAAATAACCTCAAGGCTAGGTCAAAGTGTAAGGTTTGGACCAAAGTAAGTTTGGGGGGTGGAGGTGGGAGTTGTTTGTTTTTTACCTATTTGAAGGCCCCAAAGCCACACAGGAACTATTATCAGATATCAAAAAGCAGGAAAGTAAGTTTTGAGTGACCTAATTAGTATTGAATTTGTTTGCTTCACAAATATTTATTGAGGTACTACTTGTAAAAAACACAGAGTGCTTTTGGGGATCAAAGGATAAATAAAGCTAGCTCTCTGCTTTCAAGATGATTACAGTGCAAAATATTAGAACTTCCCATTATAACCCAGAGATCTTTAAGCAAGTCTTCAGTCCATATCTGTAAAAACATCTTCTTAAGATGAGGAGGATTACAAAATACATCAAAAAGCAAAGTATGTTCTGGAATAATATTTTAGTACAGATGGATTTTAAGCAAGGATTTGCGACACAGACTGAAAAATGAGACATGAAAGCTTTATAGGTATTTAGTTTTTACTTTACTTTGACTAATATAAGAGCAGCAGGAAAACAAAAAGTTCTCTTGCTCTTGACAGTATAAAATTCTTACTATTTTTAGAGAATAGTAACTATGCATTTATGAAATTCTTTGTCAGAGCAATTTAGTTAATAGGTATGTAAATGACTACTTATTTCATTGTGTAGGTGGATTGCTCCATGTACACTTTCTGAGGAAGAACATAAGTGCTAAAAACTATTAACATTGCAAATGCAAAGAGCCAAAGTTAAGGTTAGAATGCCATACCTTTGTTGTGTCAGGGATTAGGAGTGATCCATCACGTAACATAAGTTTGTTCCTTTTCCTTACTGGAATTTCTTATTCCCATCCAACTCTCCAAACTTTTTGGACACAAAAAAACTTAAGTGAGTTGGTGGGGGTTTCCAGGCTCCAAGAGTCCTCAAAAACCTGGCTGGGTGGGGTAAAGGGAGATGAAAGTTAATAAATTTTCATGCAAAAGTTGCATTCTAAGGTATTTATGGAGAACAGCCCCTGAAAAATAATGCCTAAGGGGATTTTTTTAAGTTGTATTTTATTTATGCATACAAAAACTAGGATATAGGCCAGAACTGCTGGGGATGAGAAGATTCACCAGAGACAGAGTGGGGAGCAAAACAGGCAGATGTGCTGAAATACACTGCTGAGGAGAAGCAGCAGGCCCGAGACACTGAGTCAGCTCCCTGGCTGTGGATGGAGCCAGATAGCTTCACTGCGCTGAAACTTAACCCTTTGTGCCACCAGGGAAGCCTAAGGGATTCTTTGAAAAGCATTTTGCTTTTTTCAACCTGAAGACTACTGCAGAGGAGGCTAGGGATTCCAAAGCTCTCTCCAGCTAGACCTCCTCCTGTGATTGATGTGGGAGCTTCTCTAATCCTTCAGTTAAACCAGGCCCAGTTTGGAGAAAAGATACTACCAGTAGGAAAGAATAAATGGACCCTGCTTCTCTGGATGCCATCCCCTTCCTCCCTCACTTGAGTTCATACTACACGGTGAATTAACCTCATCTTCAATGGTGTTTTAGTCATTACAGTCCCCTTTTATAAAATTTCTTTAGATTCCTAATTGTCAGGCAAATAAAACTGAAATTCATTTGTTCGTGGTTTCCAAGCATTCCACCAATTTGCCCTTCAACCCTGTTGTCTGACTGTGCTTGCCCCTCGCCCCCCCCATATTCCACAGTGAGACTAGCAAGTAAGCATATATAGGAGCTCAGCCATCATGTTTGTCCCTTCCTATGGGCTGCAGCTCGCCCCATCCCCCTTCCCTGCCTCTGGCTCACATGCCCCTTGTCCCTTGCTGTACCCAACTGTTGCCATCAGCATGTGCTCTTTTATGTGGCAAACTTTCTAGACCGCACTCTGGCCACTGAGGACAGAGAGAGCCCTGGCCACTGAGGATAGAGAGAGCCCTGGCCACTGAGGATAGAGAGAGCTGTGGCTGTGGCGACTTAGTTCAAACACACACCCAGCCCCAGCCCCCCAGTTGTGCAAGAAGTGTGTTGCACTTCCCAAGCGCTCCTTTGTGAAGCTGCTTTGTGTGTTTGCTTTGGCTTATGTTTCTCTTTTCCTTCAGGTCCAGAGTGAAGATAGTGTGCTCCTGTTTGTTATTGCCTGGACTATCACGGAAATTATACGTTACTCCTTTTATACATTCAGTCTGTTAAACCATCTGCCTTACCTCATCAAGTGGGCCAGGTAAAGAAGTACATGAAATGAAAACTGACTTGAAATTATCCATCATACTGTCTCCAAGTTTCTAAAACTATACTTATATGAGATGGGATTTGGGTAGAAATTTGGTCTGTAGATTTCATCATGCTGTGGATCTCAACTTTGATTAATAGAAACCGTTTTACATTTTTTATACTTCAGATGTTTTATTGGATCAAGTCTTTTCAGGTAAGTTGTTCATAGAAATGTGATGTGACATCGCTATTTTTTCATACCAAATCTCAGTGAGGAGCTCCATCCCTCGTGATGTATTTTTGGACCAAGGCTAGTTGTGCTACTCACAATTTCAACAAGTTGTGGCTCTTCAATTTTTCACTAATAATAATGATGTCATGTGTTAGTTTGAGCCTGTCAGTTTTATTTTGCTTTACTTTTACCAGTGATACTTGCTATGGATTAGGTAAAAGGCTGAGAGTTCATCCATTTTTCTGAACTGATCCACAACACAGTTGTCAGCAGCTTTCTGAGTTGGAAAAGACTACAGGGAGGAATGAGAAAGCAGTGGGGTCAAAATTGTCTTTGAGGCCCATTTCATACTTCAGTGAGTTCAGTGATTAAATTAGAGACATAAAGCAATTGTTTCCAGCATTTCAAGTATTCAAACTCTTTTCTTTCCCCCCCTATTTTTTTCTTAAAATAAACATTTTTATTAGGAAAGGGGAAGAATGGGAAGGACATACAAGCTACTCAGTTACTAAGCAACCTGGGGAGGCGTTGTAATACAGGGTTAAGGGAATGTAGAGTTGCGGAGGAAACTTATTGACCAAGCTCTCATTTTACTATTGAGAAAGATTGTTTTGTCTATTGTTTTCTGTAGCCTTTCCTTTTCCTTCCTTTTCTGCCATCCTCCTTAGCATGACTGAAGATGGCAATGGTGGACAGTCTTCCTGTCATTGTCACAGACTTCTCAGCACAATTCCTATACCTGGAAGTTTGGAGTTCTCAGCCACAAACGGCCAAAGACTTGGAAGTCCGAACTGATGATTTCTTTAGCAATACTTAGACTTTGTTTCTAGTTAGCTCTGAAAGATGAACCTCCCTGAATTCTTTTTTGAGACATAAAAAACTCTTTTACAATCAGAGGAAAAGAGAAGTTTCTGGATTCTCGTACGTGATGGACCTGGAAGACACAGTCATGATAGTTACTTTATTGAAAAATTATTATAACGACCAATGGCTTTTATATAGCTTAATGTTTTTTAAATCACTGTATGTAGCAGCTTCCACTGGCTGGATGTGCTCAGTCCAAAGATCTGACGGGGAGGACATTGTATGGGCTTTCTGGACACCCTGCTCCGGTATCTCGCTCACCAACCCTCCGGCAGGATCCTTCAACATATATTATGACTTGTACCCAGGCTTGGTGTCACCTTTGTTATTTTGGGAACTTATTTTGAAAAGTTATTTTGCACTCCTGACAAATTTTCAGGCTGACTGAACACATTTATTTTAGAACTTTGAGAAACATACCTGCCATAGGGCCCTTTTCAAAAACTGACTTATAAAGCCTGAATTTAAATTGTAGGTAAATAGGAAAATGAACTAACAGTAGCTTTCTAAAGGACCAGTGCTGGTGAGAAGGGTGGGCGTGTGGATAATGCGGGTTTCCAGCCTTAGTAACGAATATTTTGTTTTGTTTCAGGTACACGCTCTTCATTGTGCTGTACCCAATGGGAGTGTCAGGAGAATTACTCACAATATATGCTGCTTTGCCCTTTGTCAGACAGGCTGGCCTATACTCCATCAGTTTACCTAACAAATACAATTTCTCCTTTGACTATTATGCATTTCTAATTCTGATAATGATCTCCTACATTCCACGTAAGTAAATAATTATGCATATATCTGTTAATGTTTTTTAAATTATGTTTTAAAAATAGCTAGCGTTTAAATGCCGGGTGGTTGTTTTTATACACTACCCAAGTAAATGTAAATCCAATTTATTGGGAACGCTTTGGTTTTTATTGAATGCTGACTGGCAAGGGGAATTTTCTCTGGTAGTAATTGAATAAAGATGAACCCTTCTCAGTGCAGCTGCCAAAATGAAGCCCTTCTCAGTGTGTGGGTTTGAAACAGTGATTACCAGAATAGGTTAACTATATATTGAGGGAAAGTACTGAGTGGAAAACAGTAAAAGCCATTAAAGACCTTACTTTGACTTTCTCTTGAGAACTGCTTATTGTGATATCTGAAAAACATTGTAAAGAGATTGTTGCATTGTTTACTGTATCAAAACAGACTGTTACTTCATTTTTAAGGAATCAGTTAACTCAAAACGAATAACAAAATAAAAATAGATTGATTTATTTTTTTCTATAGTTCTCATTTTCTCGCTTGGAAACGAGCACTTAAAGCCATCTAAATGGGACATGGTGTTCTCTTCAGGATGGCTTCCAGTTATTTTAACAGTGCTGTTAGAGATTTAAATATATGGATTATCAGATGTGCCTGTAAACACCGTCAGTAACAGAGAAAAGCTGGTGTCAGAGGCTTCTATGAAGCGACTCGTGCTTGCTAAGGAAGAGAAATTTAGTAATTATCATTAATTCTAATGTTCTAATCTTCTGAGTGATTTCCACGTATCCAGTTTTTATTCTGTTCTACCCAAGGTTATATGATGCTAATGTTTCTTCCTGCTTACTTTTAAATCTTATTTTAGTCTATAAGATGCTGTATTCTCCCCTGAACCTCAGGTTAGATTCAGACAGGAGGGTTGGATTTCTTTTCAGCCCACAGCCCCCATCAACTGAGTGAATCATCCTAGCAAGCATAAGCGACATATTTGTGTCCCTCTGTGGAAAATTGCATTTCATGCATTGTGAGGGGAAAAAAACTACATTCAGATTTCATGTGAACATTTATCTTGGCGAAATTCTTGGACGCAGTTCCGCTTCATGATTCATTTTCCAATCTTTGTTAATTATCAAGTCCTCCACTTTGGTGCTGGAACCATGGTGGCTAAAGGCCATCTCTGCATGTAAAAGGTAGTTAATTTTCAAACAAAAGATAAATATGGAAGCGCCTAAAAATGTAAGTCATATAAATGAGCTTTCAGTTCTTCACCTTTCTAATTCTATTCCAGAGTTTCACATTCCGGTTTCCAGAGCAACGGCTCTGAGTTGCAGTTGTGCTGTAACCAGAGGAACATGTATTCCAGTGGGCACCACAGGATTTACTTAAATTCAGTTCAAGTTTTTGAATGACTGAGACACAAGTGATATATGCGATAACTAGGAAAGGAGCAGAGAGAGCATTATAAAATTCAGCCAGTATCAAGGTGTCCCTGCACTGGCCAAATCCACGGCCCTTACCTCAGAGTTGCTACATTTCTAGGCTGTTGAAGTCCCGGCTTCCTTCTGATCAACTAGCTCTTGGGAGCAACCTGGGTCTGTCCGCTCCTCACGTCTGTTTTGTGCTCTGGTGGCCAGCCAGTGCCCAGCCCTTTGCCCGTGCCCTCTTGTTAGCCTGAGGAAGCCTGAGCAAGCACAGGCAGCCTTCTCTTGGTGACAGGACTCCTGCAGGAAAACAAAGCCAGTTCTGTGGGGGTTTTCCTGCCAACCTTGAAAGAGGAAAAAAAAAAAAAAACCACACACAGATCAGCTGCCCTTTAGAGAACAGACAAGACTATCTTCTCAGCACAAGTCTGCTTTCTTTGCCTCAGTTCCTTCCCCTTTCTAGTGTCCTCAGTCTCCTTTTAGTAAGAAACATGGCTTGGTTAAAGGCTGTATGACTTCTGTTTTAAGGCAGCTTAACTCTTGTAAAACAACAACAACAAATACAGTTGATGTCAAATAAGATTAAAAGATTCCCCCCAAATCCCTGACTCCTCACAGGCTCAAGATGGCAGCCAGACCACATCTCCGGTTACAAACCATTTGGTTCATTTTCTGGCTGTTGCTGTGCTTCTGGCCTGGGCCATTTGCCCTGGATGTTTTCACTCATTTTGTTGTTAATACTAAAGCCAGTTTGTACAGTTCACTCCAGCCATTTTCTGAGCATTTTCAACTTTCCAGAGCCTTGAATTTGTAAGCAGAAATTAGGAGAGATTGATTACTGTCACCATGCAGTCTTCTTTGCCACATTTGGTTTTTTTTGTATACCTTAAGTTTCTTTTAATTCTTAGTGGGTAGTTGATGAGGAACACATATTATACAAAGTAATGACTTTTCTCTATGGTTCTGACCTCTTGGATGCAGGTATATCCCAAATTGGGGCTCATGAACTGTGGCCCCAGAAATGTTCTTATGTTGCAGCGTCTTGGGGTCCCTTGCACATACTCCTCTCCTGCTCAGCTTCAGTTGCATGTGTACAATCTGTAGGGCTCAACAAACATCTCAGTCCTGGTTACACCTCTCGAATTGGCAAAAAGTTGTTTTGAGAGAAGGGAGTTGGAGAAAGGGACAAATGCTGGCGTGGATTGAAGACTCCAGGAGCTGGGCATTCTCCAGATTGTCAGTAGCCACGGGCACATCTTCTCTTGGGTACCTCTGGAAGGTGAAAAGGCAGTGTCTGTCCCCCATCTCTGACCTCTGACCCTTGTGGGAGCCGGTAGATCCTTGCCTGTGGTGGTGCAGGTATGGAACACTGTCCTGAGTTGACTGCCTCTCAGCAGCCTTCTGACCTGGCGGTGGGGCTGTAGGTAGCTGCCAGTGGCAGGTGCTGTGACTACAAAAGCAATCAGTGGACAAGTCCTTGACTAATTTTGCCACAAAGTTTCTCTTTATTAAAATACATCTATGAGAATGTGACTGGCCCCACATTTATAAATGATTACAATTAGCATCCCTTATGGTTTAATTATATCTTTCTTTCCAGTTTTAAGATTATAGAGCTTGTCAAATTTGCTGGCTTTCATACCAAAATAGTTCCCTTGCTGTTGAGTTATATGCACAAGCTGGGCCTTTTCTGCTTGTAACTTCCTGCCTGCAAGCAGTGCGGATGGATCGCAGCCCCATTCAGCCCTGGGCCGCCTCAGCAGCTGATCAGATATGTGTGCACACACCCACTGTCTTAGAGTACTTCAGGAGGATCCTTTGAAATTTGGCCAACTTGGAACCCATTTAAAAAGGAAGAAACTGTCAGGGGAGAGTTGGCAGTAGTAGAAATTACCTCCCCCATAATACAGATTACTGTCTAAAGAAATAGAGATTGGAGCTATTGGGGGGAGGAGTGAGAGGAAAAGAAGAATAGTGTACACCCAAGACTGTCACTGGAGCGCTTTCCATGGTATGAGCCCCCAGCAGGGGCGCTCCAGGTATTTGAGGTGAGACAGGTGTTGGTTGTGGGGGCCTGTCACATAGTTTTTAGGTTTTAACATTTCTGGTCCCATATGTTAAATGCTAGCATGCTCTCCCTTCCTCCCATTTCCAGTGTTTCCTGGGGAGGTAGTACAACCCTATTCATTTGAGAACCAGTACTTTTTAAAGGGATCTGTGAAATGTCCATGTCCAGAGTCTCCTTTGCTTAAGATACTGACTTCCTTTTCACAAGAACTTTTTTCCACTTCCAGACCTGGGTTAGTCGTGTCAAATCAAATATCATAGCACTTCAGTCTTCCTATAGACAGAATCCCCTTCCTTGCGAAGTATTTCTGGGCCATACCCCAAGTGACAGAGTAGTGATACCGGGGGCTAAACTCAGACTCAGGGCCCCAGAGGCTGGTCCTGACTGTCACTGATTTGTTTTGAGACCCCAGGCAATCTGCCTACCCTCTCTGGGGTTGAACTCCCTCCTCTGTGAAACAGGAATACTGTCTTCGTCACTAGAATTTTTCATTTGTTGTTGTGAAACCAGAGAATAAATGTGAAGATAATGAACGCAAAGAATATTCTCTGGCAGTTCTGTGGCATCTTGATTGGTAATGATAACAATAGTTCCTGTCATTCTGCTCCACACCCTCTACTTCCTCAGCTAAAGCAGAAAAAGAAGTCTGTGTTTTACCCCCTTCTACGACTACCTGTTACCTTCCTTGCTTGATGAGAAGGCAGTCAGAGAGGACAAGTCCATGTTGGAATACAACTTGCAATTTTTTTTAAAGATTTATCTATTTATGCATACAGAACTGGGGTACAGACCAGAGGTGCAGGGGCAGTGAGAGGATTCACCAGAGACAGAGTGGGGAGCAGAACAGGCAGATCAACGACGTACACTGTTGAGGCGTGCAGCGGGCAGGTCAGGAGAGGTCTGCGTGCCATGTGGGTCACCTCCAGGGCAGGCGGGGATCGAACTCATGCAGAAGTGGCTTTTGCTTCTTAGTGCTGTGCTTTAACCCGCTGCATCACCAGGAAGGGCCCACAACTTGCAATTTTAAATGATTTCCTTAACCAGGTCTTTCTTTTCTTTCCAGTTTTCCCACAGTTATACTTCCACATGATACATCAGAGAAGAAAGGTCCTTTCTCATACTGAAGAACACAAGAAATTTGAATAGCTCCTGCTTCCTGCACCCTCCCACCGTCCTCCCCCAAAACAAACTTTTCAAAGATCAAAAAATGCTGCAGACTTTTTGAGTTCCCAGTACGTTTCATAGAAAATAAGTAAGAACTATTTTTAAAATATTAAAAAAAATAAATAAAACAAAAACCAAAATCCAGTGTCACGCTGGCCTGGGATTTTCTATTTAAAAGAAAAAAAAAGGTAATAAAGCTGTTACATAAAACATCCTGCCTGGTCCATGTGAGCATGCTCTCCCAGTCAGGAGTCCCCAGTATTTATCTTGATGGCGCTAGAAAGGGATCTGGCATTTTATATCCTCCTATTTCCTTCCCATATCTGATAAATACAGATCTGTAACACTAACTACTTGAGAGTTACAGTCTGAGTAATGAAGTCTCACCAACCAAATGCCCAGCCTGCAGTGGGATTCCATTCCATCTGCAGTGTGTTTAGTGTTCCCTTTTCGAAGTGCTTGACCGCATGCTGGAATCTCTTTGTATTTTTGAAGCAGCAAACTTTGTTCTCTGGAATGCTCAGAAGTTATGACTGGGTCCTATCCCCTCATATCTAGTGAATGAGTTAAACAGTATACATGTCTGTGAAGCTTGGGGTAGTACCCATAATCAGAAAACAACTAGGATCCTTTTGTTTGTTTTCAACTGAGTCATTACTGCCTGCCACTAAGAAACGTGCTTGAATTTAATAAGTATGTGTACATTGTAGAGAAACTACCTTCTCTGGGGCTCAGCCTCACTCACAGTCTAACAGTTCTCAGAAAGGGGAAACCCAGTCACTAGTCAATGACAGGTACCGTTCCGTGCCCTTCTCAGAGCGCCTCTGAGGAATGTATTTGCCTGTAACTGTTCTCACTTGATGACCTGAAGCCAAGCTGGTCACAGAGGAGTGGACAGCACCAGGAAGGTGTTACGTTAGAAATCTAGTCCAGAGGAACATTCAGGAATAGGTTTACACACCCTCACTTTGCTTTTTTTATTTCATTCAACTCTTCTGTTTGGATTCTTTTCCTGATTATGGTCCCATGCAATCCCCACATCGCAAATCCAGAGGCAGTTGAGGTGTTGCAGTGAGACCTTCGTGGGCGGTATTGACCCCGCATGTTGGAGCATCCAGGAAGCACTTGGGTCATGCAGACATTGTCTAATTAAGCGTCATGTCTTCATACCATGCTCAACTGTGCGTTTAAGACCCTTCAAGAGGGGTTAGATGAAAAACTAAAGCCCAAGTTCAGATGTATGCGAGATTTTAAGCACAGAATATTCTTCGTGAAACCTTTTTTTCTTTCTTAAATTAGTTACGCCTTAAAACTTCATGTCTGTTTCACTAGCATACTGAATAGTTGTCATTTAAAATATAATTGCTAATACCAGAAGAGTATCATAATGGAAAGCTAATTTTTGAATGTTTATTTTCATAGAAGATGAAAATGAGAAAATATGTATCCTAAAATTTAATGTACAAGGGTGTGTAATAAAATTTTATTTTCCAATTGAATATTAAAATTCTGCTTCTTAAAGTCAGCACTCTTAACGTGGACATGTTGAGACTAGAATCTGTTCTTGTACTTGATAAACAAAATATGTGGGAAAGATTGTTTTTTCTCGCCTTTTCTCTTTTTACCTTTCCAAGATGTAAAATAGAATCAGACTGGGTTGTATTAGCCTTATGACTTAATTGGGATAAGATTTTTGGAAGTTATAGAAGGTGGGATGAAAAATGCAGGTTTTCCAGGATTGCTAAATTGTTTTCAGGCCTTTCTATTATAATTTTCACGATGGAAAGCAGTCTGTCATAGGCAGGCTTGGTGGTGTTGCTTCAAATTGAACTTTGGCATCAAGAACACAGCGAACAGCTCCCATCTCAAAAAGGGTCTGAACCCAGCGTGGTTCTTATACATCAGCCTTTAAAATGCTCTTAGCAGATAAGTAAGGCCCGTCACCGCCTCCCTCAGCCATCTCTGTCAGTCCCTACTTTGACGTGAATTAATTTCTCCTTTAAAGTGACAATGTTCTTTTAGGAATTGAGAACCTCTAACTCCACCCAATGTCACATCTCCTTAGTAAGTGTGAATGGGGAAGATGGTGTTTGGTGACTCTCTTGTCAGGCTGACCTTTTTTTTTTTTTTTTTTTAAATTTGGGCATAGTCAGAGGCCTCCACCTGACTGGTGTTTCAGGTCCCCTGGGGCTGCTGGCAGTGAGCCCTTTGAGGTGCACAGCAGTGCTCTGTAGTCACGTCTGCTGAGCTTCATCTTGCTGTGTTCTGTTTGCTAAGGTTGAGATCGTTCATTTAACATGTACTGACCACTATCAAAGGCACCATGGAGAGTTAGGCACAGAATAAAGAGCATCCTCCCAGATGAAAACCTTCCTCTGGGACCAACTTCCATCAGGAAGGGCTTAGAAGCGGTAGCGTGAAAGAGGCCTAGGGAAGTCGTGCCCTCACTTCCACTTGGCTTTTTTGTTTGTTTTTGTGTTGTGTGGTTTTTCATTTATAATAAAAGGTTGACATTGATGTGATACAACCTGCAAATTATTTTCAATTCTGAGTTTCATATAAAACATCCAAATCAGTACACACCGCTCCTTTGAAGTTTGGGGTACAAAAAATTATATGACCATATATATACTCATTTTTGTATTTTTTCTATGTTGTGAAAACCAAAATTGTAATTTTATAAGTCTTTGATTCACTAAAATTATATAATTTAAATGTATTTTTTGTATATTTAGAAATAAGGAGTTCAAAGACTATGCTTAACTTTCTATGCATGCCTTTGGAAGCTGTTTTTACCTGATACTGTAGTAATAAGTTGTATTCATAAGGTACTGATCTGTGTTGCATTTCAAAATAAACTGGTGTGTGCTATGCCTGGATTCGAAATACTGACTGGCCTGTGCGCAGTGATTTACCACATTGAGCTGGCTTGAGTACGTAGCACAGGAACATGGGAGTGCTTCTGTTTTGTGAGGGATTCCAGCTTTCTTTGACAGCTTTAAAATCTATTTCTGCTGTTCATAATGGTTCTGCACTTACAGGGGAACATAGACAGATTATATTAAGAGGTTTGCAAAAAGTCATTCTTCTGCCAGTCCACCTTCAAGCTCACCCAGGCCATCTCCAACCTGGCTCCAGAGGGACGAGAGTGATCCCTCATGTAAATGACCAGCTAAGAAACTGATCAGCAAAAGATTGAGGACTCTTGTCTGACAATGTTTTTCAATAGAATTTTCAGGTAAAAATCAAAGAAGGAAAATTCTGCCGCCCAGCAACCCTTCTTAGATGAAAACTAGTTGCTATCAGGTACCTCACTCTGAAAATGCCTCCTAACGCAGAACAATCCTAGAGATGCTTTACACAGTGCAGAGAGGCGGTGGTGAGGGGCCATTTCCAACCTGCTGGCTCACCCCAGATTCTCCACCTCAAAGTGAAAGTGCTTTCTTCATGTGCTGGGCACTTTCTGGTGTTTTCTCTGGGTGGACTCTGTTCTGGTGCCTGCAGCAGGGGCAGGCCCCTCCTGAGCTGGCCAGGCCTTTCTCAGCCATCACACTTGCCCAAGAGTGTGGTCTTTGTCCCAGAGGGGAACATGTTCTTCCTAAATGCTGGGCTGTTACCAGCATAGTGCTTAGAACCACCTCCCTCCTTGCATGAAGTCTAATCCGTTGAAGAGATCTACAAAAAAGAAAAACTATTTCAAATGAAATTAAGGAACAGATGGTAAAGTTAATAGCAGAGGCCACTCAGAAAATACCACCTTTACAGTCAGGGTGGTAATAGGAAAGCAGGGCTTTCTAGTTTCTCATTGTCATATTTTGTGGCAATTATGTGTACTATGTTAACATAAACTCTAGCCTGAGGAATTACCATTGGTATAATTAAGAGACCCACTGTTACACACAGCATTCCAAAAATACTGCTGTGCTCTATTCCTCTAAACAAGAATGAAGACTAGCTTTGCAATAATGCATATTCAAAAAAAAAAAAAAACCCACAGCCTTACAAATAGTACTAGCTCATTGTCATTTTGTTTAGTGGTGAAGAAACTGTTCTAAGCAACTATTACTAAAAATAGCCATACCGATTAACATTCCCCTGCCTGCATCTGAGAACCAGAGTTAGTGGAGCGCTGTGGTTTTTTTGACCAGCACTAAATGTGCGAGAATAAGATTCTTCTAAATGTGAGAGTAATATTTCTTTTCTCTTTTCCAAATTTAGAAAGATACCCCTTCCTGTTATAGGGGAAGCTCTCACTACCAAAAATGTCTTTTCCCATAGAAGGCGACTCACCCAACACTAGAGTCTCTCATTTGACAGGCAAAAAATGAAATGTGTGAGAGGCTCTCCACCCAGCACCCATTTCATAAGTCGTTTTATGTTTAGAAATTGTGTTTTCTGCGCAGTAATTCCAGAGATAGACATTACCACACCAGCGTGCTCACATCTACCCTTGACCTTTGTGGATGGGATCCAGATGCTACAAAAAGCCCCAAAGTCATTTCTGCCACCGTCGTGTCTTAACTGGGCTGTCCCGCTAGGCGGCAGCACCGCACAAGCGATCTGGAACTTGGGCGTAAAGGGCGTTTAGACAGCTTCAGCCCATGGACGCTGGAGGGACCGACCGGAAGGCGCGCTAATGACAAACTTCATATTGTCCATATAAAGCAAAGGCAGGCAGACTGTAAAGTATATTCTGGAGGGGTACAGGAAATAACACTTTTTTTAGAGCAAAGAAAACAACTTGGATGCAGACTTCGAGGCCCTATCTATTCCCTCCCAGCTGCAACACTCTCCCATCCGGGGGCCTAAAAAGCAGCTTGGTTTTTGAGAGCTTTTGGAGCTGGTCATGAAGCAGGTGTTAGCGCTCCTGTTTAATGGAGAGCCTGCTTGTTAACATTTGAAACATTCAGGGGGGTCAGTTCCCACTCTGCTGTCTCTGGATATTTTTGGAGGATGGCCTGGACCATGAGAAAATGTCAAGCCACCTTATATGGCTGTGTCTGGCCCCGAGAATGCTGTCTGCAGCATGTCCAGGACACTGTGTTGTGTGCGTTGACTTGACTCTTGGACTACGGGTTTTCTCACAGATTTAAAATGCTTTATCCATGCCATGGATGATTGTCCTTAGCAGACTTAAGGTCTTTCTCAAGAGAGACCGGCTTACATAACACCAATTTGGGGCACACCAAATAGATAACTAAGGGCATATCTACTTCTCAGCAACTATACTAGCTGGTTATGCCTTGGCCAATAGCAAGAGTCTATATGGCCAGTGGTCTGTTTATCTAGTGCTTATCATCGTGAGATACATAGACCGAGCTCTGAGGGATATGCCCTGCGATGGCAAGGTAGGGTGGACCGGGTTCTGTGGTTTAAGTTGAGGCAAAATTAAAGTTTGCTCTCCTGCTAACTCTTCAGCTCTTTTTCAAGCAATAGCAAGTCGTGAATCTCCTCGAGAAGTGATGCCAAAGTGGGGTTTTCCAAACCTAGTTTTGACTTTTTCTTGGAACATCACCTTAACCATCTTGGAGACTACTGTGAGGGGAAACTTTCCTGGCCAGGGGATGCTACTCCGTACCATGGGTAGGACAAGACATGGGCTTTCCTTTTTTTTGAACAAACCATCAAGTAGGCAAAGGAATTATTAGGTTGAGAACCCAGGGGTCAGCAGCCCTGAAGAGAGTCTGTGCTGTGCTGCTTTCCGGTGGATCTAAAAGGTGTCACTGTGCATGTGAACTCATTCACCTGAGAAGGTGCGGCTGGGACCAGCAGATCCCACAGTGCCGCCCAAGTTAGCCCCCAAACAGTTGGCCCAGTTCCTCAACAAGACTCAAGTGCCTGCTCTCACTCACTCGGGCCGGTGTCCCCCCTGAGGCCTTCTGTACCTCGCAGATGTTGGCAGGCAGTGGCTGCTTTGTCCTTGTACCCTGTCACCTGACAGGATCGTAGACGGATCCTTTCGTGCTCAGGTTGCATCCCCCACATCACCAAGTAGACCCTCAGGAGCTGGAGAAACCATGGCTCACACCGAGCAGAGGACCCCCAGCTCCCAGGAGGGCTCCTCACTGTGGGCAGTGAGCCACACCCGAGACTAGCTCCCTGACCCCCACCGGGGCAGCGGTCTTGCTGTGCCCCTGCATCTCCCGATGCCCCCTGTCCACGACCCTCCAAGCTTCTCCGGTAACCCCTCCGACCACACTCTACCTTCCTTCTCAGCCTTAGCACCAGCCTCCTCTCCCGCCTGCCCTCCCACTGCATCCTTCTGGCAAAACCCCAGCTGGAACCAGTCCAGCTGCTCCCCTGACTGTGCCTCTCACCCTAGTTGCGGCCCGCCTGGCCTGTTGCCCACGATCCTCTCAGCCATCCTCCTGAGGCCTCTGACTCATTCTCAGTCCAAGATAGCGCCTCCATGCCACAGAGTAAGTAAGCAGAGCCACGGGCCGCACTTCCTTCAACTTTCTGTTACTGAGTCTATCATCTTGCCCACACTGGGCACCTCGCTCTTTCCTGTTAGGACAGGAAGCCCTCTATTTGAAACTAACCGCTCTTGTGCTCTAGCTGTTTCCATTCCCCAGCCCCCCACCTCACTCTACAAGCCAACCCCGTCTGTACCTCTTCTTTGCTGTCTCTTCCCATCAGCTACCACCCCATTTGGCCTGGCCCCTGTGTGTGGCACTGCTGCCCTCTGTCCTGTTCTGTGGAAGCCTTGATGGCGAGCGCTTTTCTACGTCACACCTCCCATTCTCGTCCCATCATGCCACTAACACCACTTTGGTCAAGGTCATTGATGACTCCTTGTAATGAAATCCAGTGCACACTTTTCAGTGCTTGTGTTTGGTTGAAATTGGGGTGCCATCCTGCAGTATCTTAGAAATAAGCGTATGGTTTGAGAGTAGAGGGGAACCCAGCAATCCTTAGCCCTGGACTCCCTTGCAGCCTCGTGAATGCATGTGGGTGAACCAGCCACACAGCTCCATTGCTGTGGCTTGCTCCCTAGTGGAAGACAAGGCTTTAAGATGGGTGCAGAAGCCTGGAGGAGTCCTCACTTCAGTCCTGACAACCTGGACAAGGAACCAGGTAAGAAGGCGGCACTAGGACCTGCCAGGGAAACCTACGTCCATGGTGCATTAACAAACACAGTACCTGCAGGAGAGGTACTCATCCCAATGAGTCTCCTGTTATCTGGAGTTCAAACGGAGCCTCCTGCCTCGTTTCTGGCAACACAGCTGCCTGGAACGCCGAGAGGCACACAGGCTCAGCCTAGGCCTCCGGGCAGGTGCTTCCTGTGCCACACTGGCAGGGAGCAGAGGCAATAGGGTAGAACTCTGCAGGTCAGAAGCCCTTAGGCAAAGATCTTCAAAGCTGCAGCCCACAAGGTCTGGGAGACTGACAGGAACCTCACAAGCCAAAGATTCAAGAAGCCGTTTCAGACACTGTCTTGTTGCACCAGGAAACTTAGAAAGACATGTACTGGGAGGAACTAGGCCTGTGACTCTGGCTGCTGTGCTCGGGCCTGGCCTCACCAAGGAGAGGCAGACATGGGATTTGAACCAGATTCCCACAGACCCCAGAGTCTAAATTGTTTCCCTCCACCATGCTGCCTTCCTATTCCTTGGAGCAGGGGCTTGGGGGTGAGGTGGAGTGGGGAGGGGGGACAAATCTGGTTGGATGACTATCATTTAGGGACACTACTCAGGTGGCCTTTTTTTTTTTTTTTAAAGATTTATTTATTTGTCCATACAGAACTGGGGTACAGGCCAGAGATGCGGAGGGTGAGAGAATTCACCAGAGACAGAGTGGGGAGCAGAACAGGCTGACTGATGAAGTACACTGCTGAGGGGAGCAGTGGGCAGGTCAGGAGAGGTCTGCCACGCCATGTG